GCTAAAAAACATGGTTGATATGTTGTTATCAAATGTTTTATTTTCTGATGAATAATGTGTAGATTGATAAAATTTGTCGACGTAGATCGTTTTGTACTAATATGATCTGGTTTTAAGGCGCTGATATGCAGCAAGAAAGAAATGACATCGAAATTAATGGCAGCTTTAATTGATGGGAGTATCTCTTTTTTATCTTTTCTCTGTCTCTTTACCAATTTCGTTGAAAAACCTTGTTGGAATCAGTGTGGAAATTGCTCGTAATAATAACTGTTTTCTTTTTCTTTCCTTTTGACTATTATACTACTCCCTCTGTTTCAAAATATAAGTTGTTTTACTTAAAATCACGCGTATTAAAAAACTATTTTTTTACTAAAAAGTATCATTTAATATATCTAATAAAAATAATTTGACCAATCACATGAAAGACTGCAAAATATTAGTGGTCACACAATATTTAATAAAGTTAAAAAGTACCTAGTATTGTCAAAACAACTTACATTTTGAAACAAAAAAAATAGTTAAAACAACTTATATTTTGAAACGGAGGGAGTAGTAATTTTCAATATTTCGTATATTTCAACTGGTTTTAATTAGGTAAATAATAGTAGTAGTTGATTCAATTGTTTCACGTTTTGAAGATCGTCCAGTTTGGTTTGATATGTAATACATTAAATACTAGGGAACATGTATATGGATNTATTGGAGCAAATATTGAGAAAGTATCGTTTGTTCAGAATTATGCGATAATCAGTCAATTTAATTGGCTCTAACTGGTGACCACTAAAAGAACAAAAAGAACGATGAGAAAAAAAATTGAAAGGAATGAAAAGGAACAAAAGTTTTAGGAATGAGAAGGAATTGAAAAAAAAATTGGTTCCTCTTGTTTTTCCCCAAATTTGATAAAGAATAATTTTGTTCTATAAATTTTCTGCAGGAAGAGGAATGATAAGTACCAGATATTCCCAATAAATGGTGTAATTTTTAAGGAATGGAAAAAAATTTCTTGTTCCTCTTTATTTTTTTTGTTTTTACTGGTCACCATTTAAATGTATACAGAGATTAGCAAAAAGGTCGTGATTTACATATTTTAATTTTACACATGCCTGTATATCGTCACTCTCTCTTTCCTTTTCTGACTTGACCGCATAATAA